GTGTGTGTGTGTGTGTGTGTGTGTGTGTGTGTGTGTGTGTGTGTGTGTGTGTGTGTGTGTGTGTGTGTGTGTGTGTGTGTGTGTGGACGAAAGGACAGAGTGAGTGTAATCTGTTAGGCAAGAAGAGAGGATGAGCAGAGTCATTTGGGCTGATGGGACTGTGGTAACTGTAAACTACAAGCAAAGAAACAGGGAGAGCTTTCATTTAGCCACAATTTATTTTAAAACCGTGTGTATTTATTCTCTCAGTGACGCAGCCTCACATTCACACAGTCACCCACAGTCGATTAGTGTACACTTATCAGTCACACCAGAGCAGTTAAAAAGGGGAAGGGAATGCAACAATGTGTGCCTTTCGGTGCAACAAAACACAGGTTGTAGGAAATTGCTACAATTTTGGTGAACTTGCCAAACCTGATCCAAGGTGCTGTCTCAAGCAGATAAACAGCAGAAGGAGGTCTGGAGCTCGCGCCTTCAGAAGTGGGTGTACGAGCGCTTCGGGGTTTACATCGAGGACTTCCGCTTCCAGCCGGAGGAAAGCACCGTGGAGGCCGAGGAACCGCTAAGTGCTAAAAGGTGGGCCAAGAACATGAAGTGTCTGTCCTGTGTCTGTACAAGTGTGTGTCAGTCAGACAGCTGGGGGAGTACTGAAGCTGTGCAGTCTTAGATTGGGTCACATTAATCAGGATGTTCTATTGTATCATACACTGGTGTATTTGATATGTGCTACCAATGCACTGCTCTGTGAACTGTTCACTTGCAGTGTGTTGGTTGCTAGATGAGAAGTTTTCAAATCAGGCTTTAGAGGACGAAGGATGTTGGAAGCACTTTTCAAATTCACTCTACTTTCTCTCCTGCTTTATAGAGGAAGGTGAGTCATGCCAGGCTGAGGAAGGCCAAAGTGTTCTCTCTATGAACAACTCTCTAAAGCTTTTCTTCTTCTTTGTGTGCGCATGCGTTTGGAGCGTCTGCGTGTTCTGACCGCCAGTGTTTGTGTTTTCCTTCCAGGTTAACGGAAAATATGAGGCGACTCAGTGAGTACTCGAAACGCACACGAACAAATACAAAACTGTGATAGAAGCGCAGTAAGAATACTGACTTGTATATACTTTGTTCGCTCCCAAGTAGCCACGCAAGTTCAAGTAACTGGCTTTTGTACATTATTGTCCATTACACACTCTCAATAACTGTTTTTAAAGTAAGAAATATACAAATATATAGAAAATACAGTTTCTCTCTGTACACTTTAAAGATCCTTTCCACTTTGCATTTGTCCTCAACCACACTGAATACTTCCCTCTACTCTTACTTTTTTTTTTTTAGAGCGAGGAGCCAGACCTGTCACCAACTTCTTAAGGAACCTCTCCGCCTTATCTAATTGGCACTCCGTCTACACCTCAGCTATTGCCTTCATTGTGAGTGTGCGCCTCTCTTATTCATAACTGCCATCACATTACTCTTTGTACTGTGTTCAGCAAGCTTTTTAACAGACAAAATGTGAGATCTATAAATTGACTGATGGCCCCTTTTGTTCGTACATGACAGCGCTTTGAAATGAGATGTTAAGTAATTGCTGCACCACAAGGATAGATTATAGTGCTTCTGCCAAGGATCCCAGAAGTCTAATCAGATCTTCATTAATGTCCAGTCGGTGATTACGCCGACTCATTTTCCACCCAAAGATAGTGGCCATACATGCCGGGGCCACCTCAGAATCTAGATGATCCCGTCTCTAGTGTTGACGGGTGGCTTTAATCGCGTCGTCCTCCAGCATTTTATTGGCCATAATGAAATGCTTCATGGCAGTGTCTTAAATCATCTTTAAAGGGAGTCTTTATGTTCATCTTTTCTCTTGTTGTGCATAAAGCCACACAGAGGTCCTATAAGGCGTAGTAATTGTCGGTGGCCATATTCTGACCTTCTCCCCCTGCAGATCTACATGAACGCTGCTTGGCATGGCTGGGCCATTCCTATGTTACTCTTCCTGGCTATCCTGCGCTTGTCCTTAAATTACCTCATCGCCAGGTAAAAGCATTTTCTCTCTGGCGTAAAGGCAGATATCAGAGAAGCAGCCCTTTTCTTTTTACCAGTCAGTTTACTATATGGTCCCCATTACTGCTGTCATGGCTAGCTTTGAGAAGGTTTACTGTATGCTTTGTGAAATGCAACCCTGTCAAACGTACCTACTGAGGCCACAGCTGTGCTATCGGTGAACAGATGCACACTGCTGACCCCTTGTCACCGTGTGAGCCCGAGTCTACTGCATCGTGATGATAATAGGCAGATTTTTAAAACATGTCTGAATATATGATGATTATTATTGTTGTTAGAGGAGACGAATACATCATAGCTAACGAGGTTAACTCCTGTTTGTGCAGCCCAAAGTAAATTAAGTTCTATAAACATCAACAAATTCATTTTAAGTGGGGCATTTTGGTGATCACCAGGAAATGAGGGTACATTAGTAGTAGTCAGACATCTGCCCGGACTTGGACTTCCAAAGTGGGACACCTGGTCACCTTAAAAGTGATGCAGGTTATAAAGATGTAAAGGATTAAGAGTAGTTCGATGGCCCAAATTCATCAAAACAAAACGCTTAATAAAATTGCACATTATTCACATCTTCTTCCATTATCATCCAGAGGTTGGAGGATCCAGTGGAGCATTGTGCCTGAGGTCTCTGAACCCACGGTAAGCCGACTTCTCACTTCCTGTTTAACTGCTTCCTGTTTGTGTGTGTCGGGAGGAAAGCGTACGCTTCAGTGGAGGTGAATGTGTAGTCGTATTATAACTGTCCTCTTTATTCTACGCAGGAGCCTCCAAAGGAAGACTTGACCGTATCTGAGAAGTTCCAGCTTGTACTTGACGTTGCACAAAAAGCACAGGTACAAACACAACTCTGGTTACTTCTCAAATCAGTCGACGTCGTCGGTGAACAGCGACGGTTAATTCAGTGCTTAAACTCTCCTTGCAGAACCTGTTTGGAAAAATGGCCGATGTTTTGGAGAAGATAAAGAAGTAAGTTTAAAAAGATGATGCATTTTCCTAAATGCTGAGGTAAAAGTCAAATGGTTATACTTCAATACACTTTTGTTTTACGTCTCTTCTTTCTTGTCTGTGTGTGTCAGCTTGTTCATGTGGGTGCAGCCGGAGAGCACCCGGAAGCTTTACATCTGCCTGTGGGTGGCTTTCATCACCTCCTGCGTCCTGCCATACAAGCTAATGGGCTTCATGATGGGTGAGCTCCTTAATCCCTCTCACATACTGTACAGACTGCATTGGCTCTTGAAAGAAGGCACAGAAACAAATGCGTTCGCGCAGCACTTGTGTAACTGTTCTCCGTCTCTCTGCAGCTGCAGGCTATTGGCATGTCTGTCTGACAATATTAGTTCCTGCGATTTCTCGTAAACAAAAGTGTTTCCAAAGTGCTCTGGGCTCATATAGCATTAGAGGATACTTATAGTAAAAATAATTGTTGAAACAATGGTAATGTTTATTCATCCCGCCGAGTACAGTTGTCACTTCTCATGTGAAATACATGTATTTAGAGTGTAGAACAATAATCATCCGTGAATAAATTTGGCTGCTAGTCACTTATCACATTTGAGAGTGAACTTATGTCAACATTGAATGATGCTGAACTCTGCACCATGAGTGGTACTGAGATAAATGACAAAAGGCTTTGAACTGAAAAATGGAGGGCCTTAGAAGGGACCAGCTAAGAAGGGAGTGCCAATTTTTCACAACCTTTTTTTTTATTTTTTATGATAGCCTCTTCCTATATTTCATGCTCCATCGTGCATTTGTGTTCTCCCTCCTCTCCAGGCCTGTACGCCGGCATCAAGTTCTTCATCATAGACTTCCTGTTCAAGAGCTGTCCCAAGCTGCGGGACAAGTACGACACACCCTTCATCGTGTGGAACAGCCTTCCCACGGACCCTCAGCTCAAAGAGAGGACCAACGCCACGATGTCGCGGCGGGTAAGGGGGCAGAAACGCGTCCACATCTGTATCAGCTCCTTCGTTGCCTCCTCTCGCGGCTTCTCGTTTTCGGAAACTTAACTCTTAAGTTACTTGTACAGAAACGCAGATCATCCATCCAACACAGCTTGGTCTGAATCCTGTCTAAGACAAAATATGATCAGAATGTGTGTATTCAGGTTATTGCCGTATAAGTAGCCAACGAGCTAATGTAGCAAGGAAGCTAATCGCAACATGTTAAAGTTGCCAAAGAATAAGTTGATTCCCAACGAAGAAAGTCAGGTGTTCTGCAAATAACATGTAAATTCTGTAAAGACTTCATGTTGAAAGATAGTTAGAGATCGTCCTTCAACTGTAGGCACCTACCCCCCCCCCCCACACACACACACACACACACACACACCGCTGACCCCCTGTGGTGGGCAAAGAGAACAAAAGACATCAATAAAGTATCGAAACACCATCACTCCTGTCAATAACACATTTCAACTCAGCCCCTGGTGTGCATGCGTCTCTCTCATATGTAGGATGGAGTGTGTGAGCATGTGTTGGCGCCTTCTGCTGTGGCATCAGTCACAGGTGTGCTCTGTCATTTCTCTCTCAGCTCTCTGGCACTGAGAAGGTAGGGACTCTGGTGTGTCTCCCTTTGGCTCCTCTGCTGCGCACGGGTGTGACGCAAGCCCACCTAAAAGAGTGTCTGTGTTTGTGTGTGTGTGTGTGGCCAAGATGTGTGACACACGCAGTGTTTGTGGACGGAATGGATCAAAAAGTCACGATAACTCAGTCTGTTATGACATTTTTCTTTTTTTAATCGTTCTATAATTTTTTAACATGACATTGAATCATGTCATCCATTTGCAAGTTATTAAATAACATTTTTGATCCATTGACATAGATGCTCTGTGAGGAGTAGCAGTGTGTTTACTGAATAGTTTAAATGCACATAGAGTAGCCCCTTCCATATTAGCTCAGTGAACCCTTCCCTTTCTCCATTACACGTGGTGATTCATCCTGCAATGCATTGTTGTTAGTTTTTTAGTTGTCAGTTGATCAACACTCACTGTAACTGAAACACAGGTATAGAGGGGGACTGGACGGTTAAAAGGATCCCTCTGAACTAAACACGTACATGTTTAGTCTGATTATATTGCTGTGTGCGCTGAGTGAATGGTGGCCTCACTCTCTGCTTTGCACGCCACACCTGAGCCTGTGCACATGCATAGAAGCACATAATGCAACACTGAAAGTTGAGCTGTGAACATAGCTCCCGTAGCTCTGGGAACATGTATTGTGTGGAGAGAGTGGATTTTAAATATTTACCCCTGTCCTTTCTCCTTTCCCTCACCTCATCATCACTTTCATTCATCCCCCTCCCATCCGTCTTCCTCCCCTCCCACGTGCCCCCTTTTCGTCTCCTTCATGACATTTTTTCTCTTTTTGCTTCCGTCGTCCCACCATCCCGTCTGTTTTCTCCTCCTCCATCACCTCCATCTCTCTCCAGGTTCAGCCGGTGGTTTCTAGGAGCAGCCTCGCCACCATCCCCTGCGGGGTGAGCAGGGAGGAGGAGACGGGGCGCTCCCACAGCACCAAGAAGGGAGCGTTCCATGAGATCTTCAACCTGCTGGAGTCAGAGCGCCCTCTGGCGGGTGAGGGGACTTACTGCAGCATAAGATAAACCCCATCATGTGCCTGTATTCATTTGAGCGTAACAAATCTCCACAATTCTGAAGAATAAGCGAAACATCTTTACTATATTCTTCTCTCATGATGATTGCAAACAGCCGTCTGACTGGTCTCTGCCCTGTGTGTTTTCAGTGTGTGAGAACGGCTGGAGGTGTTGCCTAATAAACAGAGACAGGAAGATGCCCACAGACTACATCAGGAACGGAGTGCTCTACGTCACGGAGAAGTAAGTGCACACTTCTCTCAGAGAGTCATATTTCATCATTAAATGTCTGACTGCATGAGGCGGAGATTGAAGAAAATGACAATTGTTCCATGGCCGTCAGTGGTACCTTTTTTAATTCTGAATATTAAATGGTAATTTGCAATTTTCTGTAGCCTCGATGCTGAAAGTGTACTGAAGTAGTTTATCATGTTTAAGACTGAGAACATGACCACAAATACTGAAATACAGACCTACTAGCCAAATATCATGTTTTTCAGAAGTCTATTTGAACTTTTGTATATAATAAAGTTGGGAAAAGTAGCTTAAACCCTGGAAAATGGTTACTCCTTAAGATGAAGCAGAGAGGAGGAGGAGGTAACAGCTTAGTCCAGTGTGTTTGTGGTACAGAGTAGCGTAGAGGGTTCGTAACAGAGTCACAACAAATCTCCCTCTCTGTGTCAGTCAGTCCACGAAGGATCGAGTAGGACAGCCCTCCTCCTGAGAATACCTCTGAACTTTAAACGTCTCCACCTCTTCGGATATGGAACCGACAGGAAGTCCATTCAGTTTGTCGTCCGTGTGTCTTTTCCTTTAAAGCGGGCTTCTTTCTCGCCCTCTCTCTTTCAGTTACCTCTGCTTTGAGAGCTCCAGCTCCAGATCCAGCTCGTCCAAGAAGAATAAAGTTATCAAGCTGGTGGACATCACTGATATACAAAAGGTAGATATAAAGACTGTACATGATGTAGGAATTGGGATTTTATTTCCCCTTGTATAATTATGTGCTATTAAAAATCGTAATAATAACCCTCTTTGTTTTTCCTCCCAAGTACAAAGTGCTGTCAGTCCTACCAGGAAGTGGGATGGGCATCTCTATAGCTACTCCTTCCACTCAGAAGGTACAGTATGGAGAGACTTTTGTTCCTATTTACATTCATATGGTGCTTTTGGGATTTTCCCAAACCTGCATGTTCCCTTCAAGACGTCTTTGTCAGCACATTACCTCATTCTGCCCAGTGACCAAGCCGAGTATCGATAGCAAAACACATATTTGAATGGAGCGAGACTTGAGCGTTGTCTTTTGTTCCTCGGTGAACAACCTGACAAAAAATTCAACCAAACTGCCGAAACCACGCGAGCCGCTCAAAATAACACATCTTAAAATCCTTGCCTGAGGGCAGACTGACTATCTACTGCCACTCGAGGAACAGGTGGTATTATGAGACAGTATGCTGGCTGGCAGTAGGCAGCACAATGCATACCAAGTGTATTTGGCGTTTAGATGGATCCCTTCTTTGTGTCATAATTCATTTATTACTCATTCATCTAGACGATATTCTTCACTGTCGAAGCCCTTTTGCTTTGTGATTTAGACTTTTGCTGTATTGCATAACGTCTTGCAACGTAGGTATTAATTACCAAGCGCTTCTGTTCCCTCCAGCCTTTGGTGTTTGGAGCCATGATCCACAGAGACGAGGCTTTCGAGGCCATCTTCACCCAGTACATGAAGATCATGACCACCACCAAACCACCGGCCAGCGCCGAGCTCTAGACGGCCTGTATCCCGGTGACTGACCTCTATACTGGGGCTAAAGTCTGGGGCAGAGAGCCTCCTGAGATTCAACTGGACTGGAAGATACTTAGAAGAAAAAAAACCCTGAGCCTCATCCTCCTCTTGTGATGGGCGTCAGCTTCCTCGTCGGAGGGGACATCTGGGTGTGTCGGCTGCATGTAGCTGGGGTTTAGTGACATTCCACGCTGTTTTTATGGGTGTTGGATAATTATCTGAATTATCAAATCAGCAGAAGGCTGGCGAGGGGGGGCTGGTTCTCCTCTCCCACCTGACTGGCTAGCTGGTTTCCTGACTTGTGCGCGCAGAAGTGATGGTCTTAAAAGTGCGTCAAGTGGCTCTACTTTTCTCTGCGTCGGCGGAGGGACTTCTCCTGTGGCCGGATGATGTCGAGAAGTGCTCACCTTGGCTGTCAAATGAATATCATAAAACAAGTAGGAGGTAAACAGGAGGTTCTTTTAACTGCCAGACAAACTAGTATGTGAAGTTATAAATCACCGCAAAAACATTTCCACATTTAACTGGCTGATCGGTGCCTCGTGGCGTAGCCCGACAACGTTTTATGAGTGTACATGTGTGAGTGGTTAGTTTTTTTTTTTTTAAATAAATATGTATTCGCTGTGAAAATGTCAGCTCACCATTTGACTGACACAGAGCCTTTCTGTTAGTTTACATTGCTGCTGTCAGATTTATTTCTTGCTAGACGCATTTCAGCAGCAACGGTATGTTTTTAGTCTTCTTCGTCGACCCAACAGAAAATGTACGCTGAGTTGAGCTTCGGTGTTTGTAAGTGAGCGTATGTGAAAAGTCTAGTGATTTTTTTTTTTTTCTTTTTCAAAAATGCCTCTTTTTAACAAACAGCCTTTGGGACGAGTAACTGGCGGTCCCGGAGCTGCTGATTGCGTCCAAGACGAGAGCACAACCGCTGTTAAGACGGTTCAAACACTGACTGCCATTTAGAGAGAGAGAGAGAGAGAGAGAGAGAGAGAGAGAGAGAGAGAGATCCATCAATGGTATTCTCCCTGCACTTTAGTAGAGCGGTAACTGGAATTCCTGACATCTAAGTTGCGGTGAATACTTTTTTAAAATATTCACTACTTGAGCTGGAATCCGTGGTCAGTGTTGGGCAAATAGTCTCAAAGCTCCCACTTATGCCCCCGTGTTACTTCTCTCTGGTCTCAGAGCCCCTCGTATTAATAACACGTTCATGTCTTTCTTCAACCTGACCGTGAAAGAAGAAGCTACAAAGACCCCGACCACAGAAATACCTGTCAAACATTCCTCTTTCTGATTGGCTGATCTGACTCATGAGCAGTAATATAAATTCTAGAGTTATTTGTTTGAACTGGAAAACCAGAACGATGAGCTCTGAAGGCATGCCGAAGTACTTCCTGTTTGCTTGTTTTTTTTTCACTTCTCTGTAATGCCAGTGAGTAGAGGTTTGTCATCCGGGTGCTCTTCCGCTTGTTATGTGAGCGTTTGTAAACAGTACTATATGAACTATAATGGATACCCATCTAGACTGAACAGAATATTTCAATGTCACTTTATTTTAAAGACGCTGTTCACGAGATTAAAGCCGGTCTTTGCTCTTGCAGAACGGCGTGATATGTAGAAGTATGATGCCAAACGACATCAGACACGTCACCGTGTTGTTTTCGGCGGAGAGGAACGGAGACGGGATGTGGGACTGGAGGTCATGTCTCTTCACATTTTATTACGAGAGAGCGGTAGCTGTTCCACCCTCCCAACTCCTATGTACCGAACACCCAGCAGCACAAGCTTTAGTTTCTAATGTGTAAATCTTACGAAAACACTGTTGAAAGGGAGACCTTGACATTCATATTTACTTTAATTCCGGGTTATTTTTACTCACTGGACGCTTCTTTAGATTTACCCATCCTAGAATCACACTGGTGTCATTGTTCCTCTAAAAATCTAGATTATTTTCTGCTCTCCAGGCTTCAAATGTCAAGGTTTCCCTTCAAATCTAAACAAGTCCTCTTCCCATCATGACCAGTTAGAATCAACTGAGCTGGAGATGAAGTTGCCAGAGAGGCGACGGACCAGTTCAAAGAACCACGGTTATTGTTTTTAGTTCAAACTAATATAAAGATGGAGATTTTTATTTTTTTTTCCTTTTGACGTCCATTTGTATGATTTGGCTTGTCATTAATCGGCTGCCTTCCCAGACATGGATTTTCTATTTTTGTTTATGAATAAATTGGATCCATGATCGGGGGAAACCTGTGGGATATTGGAGCAGGTGACATCAGTAACTAACGCTGTCTCACTGTGTGATTTGACGGCTCCTTGTCGTCCTTAAAGCTTTTACCTGAAGCCTTTTCTAGTCTGTTACGTCTGAAAACCAGTTCTCTGGGGGTCTCGGAGACCCCCAACAAGGCTGCACTCGGATGGAGCACAGAATGTATCACGCTCTAAATGTCTCAAATATATATTTTCTTTTTGCCAAAATCTTTCATTTTTCTGTCTGCCATATTCTGCCTACGCTCATGTTTACAGAAGGTTGTAAAACTTGTTTTGTTGTTTCTCTTAACCCAGTTTGAATTCCGTTTGACTCCGGAGTTATGAAGACTGGACTGCTGTTCTTTGAATTACTGTCTCCGCTCTCATTGGCTCTGCCCCACTCACATGACTATTTCTGCTCACCTGTGACCAATAGGAAACTCCAATCACGGCGGCAACAACAAGAGCAGTATTTTAAACAGCATACAGCATGTACATGGTCATATCCAACGTCTCAGTGCTTTGCAGTGTGGTGTCCTTGCAGTGAAACACGGCTGAGAGCAGAGATGGTCATGGTGGACTGAAATGACAACATCTGTGTTTTTGACATTGTGAGAGAACGGCAGGAAAAGAGAAAAAGTGTGTTTCAAAGTTTATTTTTATTTTTTTAAATGAAAATAAAAAATTTTGCACATTGGAGAAAAGCGTCCAGGAAATGTCAAAGGAATAGTGCGACATTTTGGGAAACTGGATGAGAAGTTTGATGCCACTCTCATGTGTGTATGAAGCTAAAGCCAGCAGCCTGTTAGCTTAGCTTAGCCTCTGGACAGAGCCGAGCGAGTCTTCATGCTGCTCGCTGTAGCTAGACATTTACCATAGAGTTGGAAATTAAATAATTTCGAGTCTACTTTTGTAGTTCAATTAAAGAATTTGTAGTCGATATGTAGTTCGTCCACTTTTTTAATATAAGCTAATTAATCGTTTAAATGCACACATCAACACATCAATGGTGTCACTGCAGCACTTGCTGTGAGAAGTTGAAACCCTCCTGATTATAAATTTGAACGATTTACTTTGAGTGCACAGAAAATATTCATACATCATAATATTCCCAACTTTTAGGCTGTAATCACAAGAAACGCACACATTGTATGTTAAACAATGGTGTATAAAGGCCACTGAAAACACACAATCAATAAAGAGCAATATTAGATTGTTCTTTAAAAGATTACCGTCCTCATCCGGACATGTGGACTGAACCACACAATGCTGATTTTTACCTATTGTCATGGGATTGTTTTTCGTGGCTTGAACTGGCAGCAGCAAGCTACTGATTCAGTCCGTTACAAGTGTAATTCAGTATAATCGGTTAAATTACAAGAGTCTGTCTCTGTGAACTTCACACTACGAGGAAGCTAACAAACGCATTTCCCAAGAATGTCTCCATATTCCTTTAATGTTATATGAGCTGCACATAATGACTGCCATACTGTGCATCCCGCTTCTGGCAAACAGCACGCAACACTTTGAGTGTCGACCTGTTGTCAAAAACAATGGTGTTGTCCTCAAGTCTCCCCCACGTCCAAGCTGGTGTCCTCGCTGTTGTATTAAATACGTAGTTCCTCTAACTGTGTTACTGTTAATGAAGGGTTTTCCAAAAAGCATTTAAGCGCACAGCGATCTGTACCAGAGACGAAGTGAACTGTCTCCAGGCTGCAAACAGCCCGACGTCATGACTGAAGAGAGTTTAAAGGGTTAAACTAAATGCATGTTAAGAATCTGAAGCAGTCGGCATCATTACACTTGGGACGGTCAGTGAATTGCGAATATAAGTGTTACTGGGGGAACACTGCTGTCATTACGACTAATTAAGGTGTCATCTGTGACAATGGACCTCATTTATTTCTCCCATTATTTTTGTCAAAGAGGAATTTGTATACAAATGATTGAAGTGTACAGTGAAGAAAACAAAAACCACAGAGTTTTTAAAAGACATGTCTATTGTAAAGGATAATGTGATGTACATTTTTTTTAATTTAAGTAAATGAATTTAAGGTATTTTTGCTCTTGTCTTTTGTTCGGTGGGACAAACATGATCTAAAAGGGGATTTTTTTTTTGTGGCTCCAAACTGCAGTGCGTGTAGACGGCCACACGAGGTCACTATGAGACCTTGTGTACAGATCAGTATGCTGGGAGAAT